GAGCGCCACCACGCTCCCAAGCGGCGCACTGTAGCAGTGTGCCACCAGGCCGGCCCCAAACAACCCTATTTCCTGATAAGGTCGCATTCTGAGGCACTGGGGATAGGACCCCAACGTATGAATTTTGGGTGGATACAATTCAACCCATGAGAGGTGTGGTGCACATGGGTGTAGAAGTTTACAAAACAGAGGCCAGCAGAAAACAAAGGAGTAAAAACCTCAGTTCTACAATGTGGAGATCACTGCTATGACCATCTTACAGCATATCCTCCTGAAACAATGGAGCTGAAGATGAGACAAAATGTACACACGGCTTTGTAACCTGCTTTATTCAATAATCTCTACCTCTCTGTTTTACCGAATTTCTTCTCATCCAATACTTAGCCTAGGTTCAAATTCCGTGTTTTTTTGGTAGCTTTGTTCAAACCAGTAACCAATCTATGGCCATTCATTTTAACTGGCTGTTGATTTCCCCAAAGTCTCTTTAATCTAACATTGTCTCTTTTTTTATGACATTGACTTATTTTGGGCCACTCACACTGCATGACAACCTACCACTTGGATTTATCTGACTGCTTCCCATGATGTTGTTTAGCTCATTCCTCGGTCCCCTGTGTTGCCTTAAACTGGGGTCCATAGCTGAGCCTCTGATATGCCTGAGTCAAACCTTTTTAGAGAGGAAGCATTGCAGCATGTCTAAATGCCTCATGCTAGAAGACACAGGACATCTGGTTGACCCATGTCAGGGTTTTGCCGGTTCTGGAGTTCCTGCATTTGGGGAGTGGGACCGGATGACCTCGAATGTCTCTTGCGACACTGAGGTTTTTTAACTTGACAGTTCCTGATGGTTGAGAAAGGGACTTGCCCTTTCTGGTGGCAGCTGGCACTGGACAAGGAAGCATGGCAGGGTTTGCTGAGACATCCCCACTGCTGCCCTTTGGGGATCACACCGATCCCAGGACATCCAGTTCTAAGAAGTTCTGTCCTTGGATTCCTGGCATGGTGTCCACTATGTGGAGTGATGGGGACACGCTTCCCTGCTACACTTGTGCCTCCCTGCAGAGTCAACATCATAGGCCACTGTCTTCCCTCCTAGACCATTTCTAGGAAGGACCAGAACGTTTTTCCTCCAACATTTTACAGTTTTTTTTTT